AACCTAGTGGACGATGTCCGACGACGTGATCCTGCCGGGTCAGAAGGTGTGTAGGACCCCTGTTTACACACGACTGACCGCTGAAGCAGGACAGCTGTCCACCAGTCGTGACCACTCGCGTCAGTCCGGGACTAACCGAATGGCTGGTTACGGAAAGGTGCGAGTGGTGACGAAAGCATGTAGACGTCACAAATCGGTTTTGACCAATCACTATCTGCCGCATGACTTGACTCCAAATCTATGTCTGAATCTGAAGTTCATTTACATGTGGTACAATTCTGAAGTTGGTCGAAGAGAAACACGTAATTTTTTCAGGATGGCGACATGTTTGTGGTCCCCCCTTCCCATCTGCTAATTGACCTTTAATTTGCAGCTCCATGGGTACTGAATTGTCGCTGATACATGAAAATAAGGAAGCTTTCTTCGGTATCCTGTTGCTGATCACGTATCGACTTATTTAGTAGCACGCTTTTAGCTGGCGAGTGCTGTTGAATTAAAGGATCTCCACGACATACTTTTCTTGAAGCAATAATTCATGAAGTAGTTCACCTGTCATGTATACTTACACGATACCTTAACGTCACTAGCGTCATTTCCAATCTGTACTATATATGTCAGAGATATAGGGCGCATTGGCATAGATCTATGTATCGCATGCATACTGAACAAAAGACGGATTTTGAATCGAACTGTGAATGGACATCTCATAGGGTGAAGATCAAAACAGAAGAGCTTTCTTCTAACCCGTACAATAACACAGGCGGCGTTTACAAGGGAAAATAGGACCAAGCCCACCTGTTTCTGTCTATATTGAACACACTAATTTATTTCGATCTGGACGTCTTGTTCAAGAATGGCACCACGTGCCTTCAGAACTTTCTAGCGCTACATCGCTCCGTAGCCCTCATCCGCAATGTGTTGCTAACACATGATGCTGTCTTGCTAACACATGATGCTGTCTTGCTAACACATGATGCTGTCTTGCAATCACATGATGCTGTCTTGCTAACACATGATGCTGTCTTGCAATCACATGATGCTGTCTTGCAATCACATGATGCTGTCTTGCAATCACATGATGCTGTCTTGCTAACACATGATGCTGTCTTGCAATCACATGATGCTGTCTTGCTAACACATGATGCTGTCTTGCAATTACATGATGCTGTCTTGCAATAACATGATGATGCTGTCTTGCTGTCTTGCTAACACATGATGCTGTCTTGCTAACACATGATGCTGTCTTGCTAACACATGATGCTGTCTTGCAATCACATGATGCTGTCTTGCAATCACATGATGCTGTCTTGCTAACACATGATGCTGTCATGATGCTGTCTTGCAATCACATGATGCTGTCTTGCAATCACATGATGCTGTCTTGCTAACACATGATGCTGTCTTGCAATCACATGATGCTGTCTTGCAATCACATCACATGATGCTGTCTTGCTAACACATGATGCTGTCTTGCAATCACATGATGCTGTCTTGCAATCACATGATGCTGTCTTGCAAACACATGATGCTGTCTTGCTAACACATGATGCTGTCTTGCTAACACATGATGCTGTCTTGCTAACACATGATGCTGTCTTGCTAACACATGATGCTGTCTTGCAATCACATGATGCTGTCTTGCTAACACATGATGCTGTCTTGCAATCACATGATGCTGTCTTGCTAACACATGATGCTGTCTTGCTAACACACGATGCTGTCTTGCTAACACATGATGCTGTCTTGCAATGGGACATACTCATATAGAACCAATGTTTTTTATTTATTAATGGTGATGTGGATATTTAATTTCTTTAGTACTAAAGGTCAGATCAAACTGTAAGATAGATTGAAAAAATAAACTTTGACTTTATTTAAAATAGCTTGACTTTTTAGATTTCAGGCTATCCGTATGTATTTATGATAAAACCGTTATAAACTGTTGGCCTTTCCATGTTAATTTTTAGACTTTGATATTTGTGTAAAATTAAGATACTGTTCCCAAGTACTCAGATAAGATTTTTTCAAACTTCAGAATCAAATTTAAGTCAGTCAAATCAAACGGCAAAATGTTTCCTTGGCAAGACCCTTAGAGGACAACCTACATGATAGCACCCCTGGCGTCGACTAGGTTAACAGTAGAGTGTATAAGGATCACTTCTAGGATGTGAAAGAAAGATGGGATGGCAGAGAATAAGCTGCCACTCTAACGATAGTCCTTGATGCGGACCCAATATACATATACACCAGACACCGTTCACGAACACAGTTCGCCATTTCACGTCACACCAGTCAAATGAGAAACCATTCAAGTGTTTGCGGTTTGAATACCATAGTGGCAGCTGGCCAATGAAATTCGGACACGTCATAGAATATCGTTGTAAGTATGCATGAGGTCAAATCAAACATACAGATCTTTTCTGTCGATAGGAATTCAACACTTGAATGACTTGTTATTTGAATTACGTCATCTTATGCTTGAGTTGACCTTAAAATTTAGCATGAATTAAACTCACTGCCTGCATATATATTCTTGAGACATTTGTTTTCCAACCGTCCAATGATGCATAAGATGGCGTCACGTGACTATCACGTGGTGTAATTCGTCTAAACATCAACGAACAGTCAAAATGAAAGTAACAGTACATGTATACAAACATCTCCCGTAACGAAATGCAAGAAATATTCACATAAATCTCCGTAAGATTAATAAACAATAGGTACCGATCATCTAACAACACGGTGACCGTAACAAAACGTTACGTGTATAACAAGCAGGTTCGCCGTAACAGTAACGTGTCAGTAAGTAACAGGTATTATCACATACCATTGCTCTACATCCTGAGTAACCATGACTACAAGACAGAACTGGAACCACAACACAGCATATGTACACATAATGTATAGAACTAAACGGGAGTTCTGCATAGAATACTTCGGACCCCAATCTATAGTCTCCCTAAAGTCTTATCATGCCGGCACGAGCACAGTCAATGAAGCAAGTTCACACACAAGCGCGTGGGGGTGAGTGATGGGGAGGGGTGGGCTGGATGTGACTGGACAGGGGGTTAAAGATGTAAAGGGTACGTATAATATACACAGTGGGTGCGAGAGAACATTACACTCACGTGTACAGTGTAAACTTTGGAGGTATAAATGGATTAAGCATTTTAATTTAACATTTTAATTTAACATGCAAAAATGGGTTGAAATATATTATTGTTGAGTAATTACTTGGCTTATAAACATTCTCCGTCAGAGATTCACATAAGTGGCTTCGACTCCCATCGATAATTAACTGCTAAAGCGTATAGAAACACGTGCGCGCTTATAGGAGGGGTTGGAGCACACTCGCTCTGTAGGTTTAGGAGGTAGCGTTCAGTAATAAACTAGCATACTGTAGGAGGTTTTGACTTAACTAGGACGACCGGGCAAATTAGCTGTATCTGAAGGAGCTTGAACGAGTCTGGCACGACCCGCTTCTCAGCTCCACGTTTCGTGGCTTGAAGTCTGGAATATATATTTTATCGATATTTGAATATAAATTTTATAAATGAACTCCATTAAAACTAAAATATGTACACTCTTAAAGGCAGGACGATATACGAGAGAGAAATATATCATTTGTACATCAGCTGTTTGTGAATATCATATATATATATATATAAATGGATATATAACTGTATTGTGTGTAGTCATATTCAATAACGATGAGTATTTTTATGTGAATACAATGTTGTTTTGTGTCATATTAAAGGGGGATATATAACAGTAGGATTGATGTAACTGTTAGAGAGAACGTTGGCGTGACTACTTAGGGGTGGGGGTGGGGTAGGGAGTGCGACTGTGGGGGTAGGGGCGGGGGTAAGGTGGTAGGACGGGGTATCTTGTGATATGGTGATGCACTTCACAACCAGGCAGCATTGTTACGTCTGTGATATCAGTAAGTTTAGTTACAACAGTTGACCGTTACATGTATGACCTAGTGACTGAGAGGAAACATTCAATACACACATGCTACGCGTACACATACGTGTACTGTACACTACAGGACTAGATACCCACAAGCGATATTCAGGGATCCATATATTTGTCATTTTTAACATTACTGATATCTGTATTAAATATGTACTTTAGTAACACGTATATTAAATTTAAACATTTTGTGATAAGAATATTGTTTAAAAATAACCAAAATATGAATCCAAAAATATTTCCTACCAACAGCATTAATTTAAGAAAGTAATGTTATAGTCCATCGTAAGACCTGAAAAGCATATCAATATCTAATATCAATCATATCAAGAAGATAAGGAAGAAAATTCATTACTTGTTTTCCGTTACCCTAAATCTATAATACATGATTGATGACTGCAGAACCAAGGTCGTCACAAGAGAGGGATGGACACATGAGCATCTATTTGATACACGTTAAACATGTCCTACAACACAAAGCACTCATCGTTATAAGAAATCTGAAACTAAATCCTATAGCGTTTCTATATGCAGTCACGTCATGCATACGTGGTTAAGGAGACTACATGTCCCGCATACACTTGATCTAGCCATATCGAATCACTCATGTCTTATTTCCATTAAACAGAATAAACTTTCAGCTTTCCCAGTCGGATACACAACTGTAATGGCTTCCTGTCATGCTAACGGACTTAGTCGCTCACGCAGATTCTCACGAAACAGAGTAACACCTCCCTACAAGAAAGTACCCGTTCCATTCTTGAAGCCAATGCCAATAATGACGTCATACTTAGTTATAGACAGTTTCGCAAACCATTTCCTGTTTTAACGTTTTGATAAGTGATATATCAACCATGTATTTCAAACGTTATGAGATCAAATACATATTACCTGGATAGCATCTCACTGCATCTAACATGTCATAGGAACCATCCATCTTGGCCTTAACATCATATCCTGCAGTCACGCAATAATATCATATCCATTGCTCAGTCAACAGTGGTATATCCTTTATGTTGTACCATATCCATTGCTCAGTCAACAGTGGTATATCCTTTATGTTGTACCATATCCATGATTCAGTCACAGTGTCATATCGTACTCACGGCCTGGATTCATTTGACAGTGACATATCCTTTGCTTGTATAATAGCAGTGTGTCCTTTGCTTTGTCAACAGAAGCATACAAGTGGTCAGTCCGTGGTGGCATATCCTTTGTTCCAGTACTGGCAGCATATCCTTCACTCACTTCCTAGTAGCATATCCACAGTGGACACAAAACTCCGGCATTCACGGAAGATATCCATTTTACAAAAACGTATTCCATTCATCTATCCTTTCCTTGAATTGAAACAACGGTCTTCATGGAACCATATCTTCCTGTACTGTGCAAGGGAACGCTATCTCTATGAAGATGGCACAAGTTAGCGAGTACTACGTCCTTCCTAGGCTCCAACTCGGACACTGAATGGTTCCAGATAACCATGGAAGCATTGGTGTTAAGTGTCGATGGATTTACAACCACAAGATCTTGGAAGAGTGGATACGGTGTTATACACATCATATACACAATGCACGTCACCCACTGTTTGATACATGCATATTTCAGGTCGATATCACTGTTCACGTGCAGGTGGTACTGAGACCATATGGAGTATGTTGTTATATATACATGTCAATAACACGTAGTTGATGAGTTTCTTACAAACACGTGCAGAGTAATGGATCCATGAAACATTCATTAGGATGTATCTACGTTTAGATCATGGAGACAGTTGCGTGAAGTATATAAGCTTGTTTATATGGTATTACACGACCTTCTCCGTGAGAAACTGAGTCTAGGCTTGTAGCTGATTGTCGCCATGTGATCGTAATGTTCAACAATGTAGTTGTGGCATAATAAAACGTGCTATATGCACAACATAGGAACATAGGCAAAATGATGTCGCAATAAACACGATTGATATCAAGTTCAACCTTTTCCCCAAAGAGATTCTTCTGAATCAATATCCATAATAGATGACAAGTGAACCTGATGATGATCTGTCTGTCAATATATTCGTTAGATCACACAAGGGCCACGTGCAAGACCACGTACACACATCTGTGCATCTTGAATGTCTATAGTCAGGATTGTTCTACAAGATCAATGATGCAAACACATGTACTAGTCAAGAAGTCATTAGTGACTTAGTTCTCAGCCAATAAAGGAAAACATAGCTCAACAAACACGCAAAGCAGCCTCAATTTAACCAGAGTCCTTTGTCCCAGAGCGTTATTATTAATGAGCTATGAGAAGAGAAATGCTCTCCTGTACCCCAAAGTGTAGCTTACCTGCCCCCGAGGATTCAAGTATGGACGTCACCTCTCCGCACACCAATTACTGAGCTCTCCGTCGCTGGAGGTTCATGTTTGGTAATATTCTACACACGAACCGTTGCAGATGCCCGATAGCACATCTTGACCCCATACTGAATTGTTGCCAATACTTTAATCAGGAACTTATATTAACGTTCTGGTTGCACATTGGGTTAGTTCAGCTTCTTGTCTTCCTGTTTAATAACCATCATATGCTGGATGGATGTGTTCTGGCAGCGGGAACCTTTATCTACTTTATCAATGTCACAACATATAGAAATATACATGAAACTTCATTATCTAATCTCTTTAAGAATATACTCCACTTTACTGTACAAATACATCAACATTCCAAATCAAATCTAATCCATGATCGCTTATCACAGTGTTGCCATCTGAACGGTAGACGCATGTACTGCGCCTTTGTGTCATAACTTGAACATAGACAGCATTGACATGCTTCCAAAAATATCACCTATCCCTGAGCCTTATACCTACACGATTAGCCTTTGCAGCAGCAGGATTTCATCACGTTTATAACAACAAAGTAGTGTATATTCCCACACACGTTCCGCCCTCGTTATACTGCTGCACCTGGCTCAAATCTGCATTCAGCTTGGATTTCCAAAGCCTTGCACTTTCAAATATTTGACACAGTAAGACGTTGATAAAAACATCTTGAAATGTGCCTGTTTCGATACTTCAAACATAAATGGTACTGATACATTTAATACATATGTACCATGATTTTCATAAGTAATATAACCTTAATTCGAGTTACTGAAGACTCATTAAACTCATTCGCTGAAACCAATGAGTCAACATTACCATGGTCCGACAAGATGGACATCACACTAATTTTCTCAAACTTATCTAAGCTGAAATTTGCGATAAACGACATTTCTCTTATTTTACTGGCCGAATGTGTTGGGAAAACAGTATTAAAGCTTGACTGTATAACTTTGGTTCTGAGGTAACTGAAACGAACATAGTTGTATTAGATATGGCATTAACATCAATATGTTGTGAATACGGAGTAACTGATCACTACGGATGAACGGTGTTTCTGATAGGGTGTCTATATATGATTCGGTCATATGCTCTTTGTAGGAATGTGTCCGTGTGTGACGTAATCAGCTTTATTTCGCGTTATAATGAAGTGTTTGAAGGAACCGAATGACAGTTTCAGCAGCCTGAAAGAAGCACTGTGATGAAAAGCACTAACGCCGTCTGGTGGCGTTCCCCAAGGGGGTTAATCCCGTATCGGCTACATCTACTATGATTGCATCTGGGTATAACTGGATACGGCATGGCGTCCATCTACTATGCTGGACTTCCGGTTTACATCCATGTTAGCTGCTTACAAGAGATCTTGACCTTGTCAACAGACGTGTCAGTGATTGCTTCATTCCCGTAGTTTCTGGTAGATCCGAGGAATGACAAACGTTGCTATGGCAATTGTGAGATACGTGGGAAGATGAGGTAAGAGAGCTGGTCCCTTGTTACAAAGCGAGTCCTCGCAGTGACAGTAGCGGATGCGAACACCCCTCGTTCCACTGCGGGCCAGGCACCCGGGTTTACCCATCGATCCACACTGACGTACAATACGGACTTCACCCGGAACTGAAAACAAATCATACGTCATTATTATCGACAACTTTTACATCATCTGAGTTGGAAGATTGTTAAACCCATCTTGATATGAAATATAATTATGATGAATGTTTTAAATGACAATCGTTTTATCCGGAAATCTGTCTGACGTTAAAGTGTTAACTAGTATCCTGTACATACGGACTCGCCAACTAGAAGAATCACTACATAAAACTGTTGCATAACAAATTAGAACAGGAAACGGCCATAATAAAATCGAGATTATGTAGGTAGACTTTCGTTATTCAAAACATACTCGGTGTATTGTTAATGTGAAACGAAATAATTTCTAATGCTTAACTTCATTTCTTTGCATGGCTGTCTTCGATTACACAGCACTAAATTTGAAGCAGATTTGCCTAAACAAAACACAACATGTACCAAACGGTCAACTTAACAACGAGTGTTATTGACGTCTCAAGATATACGCTGTTGGGAAGCGATCAAACAAGCGCTTGTCTGAAGGAAATTATCGATTGGACTCCTTTGATTCGTTAAGGGTTTCGTTACAAAGGGAGATAATTCTGTTTACTCACATTCTTGGACCATTTTACGGCAGACGGTGTACGTCTTGTTACCCTCAAGGAAATCACACCTCTGCTTGTACATATATTGTTTCTCTTCCGGCAAGTTCCGACAATCATCGCCGTGAAGATAGGAATTACAGATGAAACACTCGATGGCGAGTCCTGCAACAGAAACAAACACCGTTAGGTGGCGCTGACCCGTCTGAGAATGTAAACTCCGTGGTAAACTCCAGGTTGGCAACATCTCGTGGATGATCTGCACGTGCACATTTGATTATCACGTGCAACGTGTGGTATTTCCTCCAGGTGGAAACTCTGAGCCTCTTGACATTTCGGCTTAGAGGATTTGGTTCAAATGAATAGAATTATTTTGTGGGATTTCAAAATAAAATTACTGGAAACAATTTTACATTTTTTATGCCATGACGTCAAACACACATGAATACAGTGAAACGACGTATTCGGGACTATCGTGGAACGAAACCACCTGAAATAGCCTTGATTCTTTATTTCAAGGTCGTGAAAAGAGTCGAACATGTTAAAGTTTGTGGACATGCATCACATAAGCAACGGGCAGCTACACAAGGAATAAGTTCCGTTGGAAGTTGAGTGTAGAAATATTACTGTAAGTATACGTAGAGAAACATATATAGGAACACAGGAAAATTCAAGCGTTCCTTTATTATTTTCCAGTTTTCAACACCACAGCGCTATTCAAAGCTGATGATGAAAACTAGAAATCATTACAGGACCACTTGAATTTTTCTGTGTTCCTTTATTTGTTTCTCTACGTATATCTTTGCACAAGATTCTGTCGTTGTACCTGTGTGGTGACAACGTCAATCAATGCATATGCTTATGTTAATGTAAACCACTACAACACTCAGCCACATCGCCCTCCACCGCATATATCCCTACCATCACACCACAAAGCATTTCCTTCCAAAACAGCCTTAAAACAAACGAGCAGTGCCAGGCTTTGCCAACTGTGCCCAAAGACAAAAGGGTAATACAAACAGAGTTGACTTAACATTTAGAGCCAACCGGAATAAAGCAATCACCATAAAGCATTATCTTAAACAGGCATTTGAGAAAATTGGGTCAGTGTGAAGATCCACGTTGTGCTATTGATCCCTGTCCATGAGATATCCTCTCAGCGATTGGGCCTGGGTCCGGATCGGCGTGGTCCGGTTGGAAGCACGGACGGGAAAAGAACTTTGGCGTCGTGACGTCACGGGGAGACGGAGGGGGTGGCACGCAAGATCATTCATTAAGTTAATGCCCCAATCCAATCAGTTTGTGGTTATACCTGGTCCTCTGTAGCATCAGTATTGAGTTCCAATGAAACAGTCGCGGCGGATAATGGATTTGGGTTTGTGAAAGACAAGATGAAAAGAGTTGGCAAATATTTCAATTGGTGAGCTTTATTGCGTAAGGGGAACAGCAGTGTTTCGCCTATGACGTGACTGTGTGCAGAGAATCGTTAGATCGATATCAGTCGGCATCTGCGAAAACAGTCCTATTTCTTATAATAATACCGGATAACAAAGGCTTAACTGTACAAGACAACCAATATAATATTGGCGTCGTATGCTGAACAGAAACAAAGCAGGAGAATCGGTATTGCTAAGACTAGGACTAGAATTCGTATACGAGGAGTCGTAGTTAATATAGACACTTTTCCTTTAGGTTTTGATAAACTAGTAACTAAATATATGATTTCAAAATGGCCATGTTAACCCAGATAAAAATGAAACTAGTTGCTTTCATTTTGGAAAAGTTCAAAGGCAAATGCATAAGATCACACCCTAGATATTTCGTAGTAATAGGTGTGTAAAAAGAAGGCTCTTAGGAGGTGGTGGTTCATATGACATCGCATGACCGAATCTAACACATTTCGCCAGTACTTGTTGTATGTTCTTCACGTGATAAGAAAGAAATCATCATATCCATACTAACCAAAACCTTTGTCGTCTTCATGTTGCAACAATTGACGTTCATTCGAGCATGCTCTTTCTACGAATGTTTCAAAGACAGACATGTGACTTAGTCATCAGGATGTACCCCAATACTGACACATTGGTGTGTTTGGCTGGAATGGACAGATTCTTCTGGGTTGGAAGCAGAGACCCCGTCTCTCGGTCTCTATTATCCTCTCAACACCTCCTCCTCATCTTCCTCTCTGAATATAAAGTGATCGGTCCCAAATACCCTATCACATCATCACCAAATACACAAATGGCCATGGGAAAATGCTGAAACACTTTAAAAATAATCAGCAGAGCAAACCTAACACGATAATGAAAATATGCTGTCACGGCAAATACCAGCACTGAATGATGCCTATATGCAATAATATGTAAACCTTTTCCCTCGATACTTCAACCAGCTAAATAGTAACATAATCGTTGTGGTATTCCTACATAAATATTTGCTCCTCATATCAGTAGAGTGTGGGAATCCATTGTCCATTATTGATGTAATAGCACTGGGTGACGTCACGGATCCATAAACATCAGATGAGACTATACCCCAGGCCATGTACAATGATAGGGAAGAACTTCCTCATCCGTAACGTTAACACCGCTTGTCATCGTTCTTCTTGTCTCAACAGGTTGTCGTGAAACATATCTTCCACTTTGTTGGGACATATGAGTGTATGCAAAAGAAATGATTTATGCAAAAATGAAAAGAAAATTAGCCAACATTTCTTGGAAGGAGGTGATGAATATAAATGAAAGTTCCTTTTACGTGCAAAGGAAACGAATGGTGTAAACTGTCCCTTTAAGAAGAGTTGCATCCCCTCGACGTGTCAGGAGCCGTTAGTCTGGGTTCGAATATCAGGTTCCCCCCAAAATACGTTCTCTGGTCTGTGAGGATTAAACCTTTCTCGTGGTTTCATACAAATCTTTACACCCCACCTTTACGGTCGCGTCGGGAGTTACTTCAGCGTTATGTTTAACCGCCAAGGCAAAATAGATGATGACGTTCAACCCCGTTCAACCCCCGCTTGTTCTGTGACACCAAAGTGACAACCTGGCATGTAATGCATATGTACGATATCTTTTATACATAAACTTCAGAATGCTCGTCATTCGGGACATGATGACACCGTGCTGCCAGTTCCTCAGACTGTGGGGGATCAAGTAACATGGAAAGGGGCCTGCTGACACCGTGCTGCCGGTTCCTCCGACTGTGGGGGATCAAGTAACATGAAAAGGGGCCTGCTGACACCGTGCTGCCAGTTCCTCAGACTGTGGGGGATCAAGTAACATGAAAAGGGGCCTGCTGACACCGTGCTGCCAGTTCCTCAGACTGTGGGGGATCAAGTAACATGAAAAGGGCATGCTGACACCGTGCTGCCAGTTCCTCAGACTGTGGGGGATCAAGTAACATGAAAAGGGGCATGCTGACACCGTGCTGCCAGTTCCTCAGACTGTGGGGGATCAAGTAACATGAAAAGGGCTATAGAAGGACTCGGCATCAATATCTCATCTCGCTAAGGATTCAACAAAGCTTCCGACGAATGGGGCTTCCCTGAGCACCTCGCTGTATACAATTTGAATATCATATTCATTCAAACCGCATTCACAACCTGATTTATGTCTGACTTCAGGTTCTCTGGAGAACTGTGGAGTTAAATCGTAAACATGTTCTTGTTGAGCTTTCTTGTATTCATAACCGCCATGAATAAATTCCCTGTAGTCGGCAGAACATATTGATTAGTCTGTGCCTTTCATCTCTCCATGCTCTGCACCTCCACGCCCCCTATCACAATCCCCTCCACCGTCCACCATCTCTACTTTTCCATCCCAACCTCGCCTTCCTACTGAAACCCTCTGCCCCCAACCGCCTGCCACCCATACTCCACCTTCCAACTCAATCCCACCCCTCCTGCTATCCTTATTCATCCACCTGCCCAGATTTCTTCCCATGTCCCCTCCTCCCAGCGATGGTGACGCCGCCTCTAGGTGCACCAACACTGTGTAATGTGCAAATGAATTGGGTTAAACTTTTCTCACAAAACAATTTTTATAACATTCAGTCTTGATAGAATACATCCAGGCAACTAGACGATAAAAGTAAAGCCATGTAAATATTGATAAATTTGCCATGAAATTCATCATCATCTTCCACGAGAGGATAAAGCTGGAAAGAGTAGGAGGAGATAGGAACTAGCGCTGCTAGTGTGTTACACATGCCCATAAAGGCCCTCGACATGCTCATGTTCACGGATAAGTCTAAACTCCTAGGCTGAGTCCACTCAATCAGACTGTGGGTAGTGGCTTTGGGTTGTTGCGATAGCAAACAAGGGGATAATTAGATTGGGAGTGATTTGTAAACAAATGCATTCATCTTTGCCAGATGAAACAGGATCAGCATGGTGTTGGTGAGAGGTTGGAAGCACCAGGGGACATGCAGAGAGGCCACTTCTGTGTGGTATAGACGCGGGATTTCAGCTTCTCTTCCAGAAACAGTTAATTCATATGCCAGAGAGAATCACACACACACACACACACAGTAATAGACGTGAAATACAGGTGCAGGACACCCAGCCTTGTGGTCCCATGTGTCTGTGCACCATCTCCCTAGCAGTGATTACCCAAAGGATTGTCCTGTGTTGTCCTGTCCTGTGTGTTTCCTCAAAATCAGTCGTAGTTCAACTGTGCATAACTTAACAAAATTATCGTTTCGTCCATGCAATGCAGCCTTCCTTCATCCTGATAAACAACAGTTTACAGTCCAATAGTCAGGATGGGACAAAAATATACAGTCAAATAGTCAGGATGGGACAACAATATACAGTCCAATAGTCAGGATGGGATAATATATACAGTCCAATAGTCAGGATGGGATAACAATATACAGTCCAATAGTCAAAGAATGGGATGGGATATATACAGTCCAATAGTCATGGGGATGGGTCAGGATGGGACAAAAATATACAGTCAAATAGTCAGGATGGGACAACAATATACAGTCCAATAGTCAGGATGGGATAATATATACAGTCCAATAGTCAGGATGGGATAACAATATACAGTCCAATAGTCAGGATGGGATAATATATACAGTCAAATAGTCAGGATGGGACAACAATATGCAGTCAAATAGTCAGGATGGGACAACAATATACAGTCCAATAGTCAGGATGGGATAATATATACAGTCCAATAGTCAGGATGGGATAACAATATACAGTCAAATAGTCAGGATGGGACAACAATATACAGTCAAATAGTCAGGATGGGACAACAATATACAATCCGATAGTCAGGATGGGACAACAATATACAATGCGATAGTCAGGATGGGACAAATACAATATACAAATATACAGTCAAATAGTCAGGATGGGACAACAATATACAATCTGATAGTCAGGATGGGACAACAATATACAATCCGAGAGTCAGGATGGGACAACAATATACAATGCGATAGTCAGGATGGGACAACAATATACAATCTGATAGTCAGGATGGGACAACAATATACAATCCAATAGTCAGCATGGGACAACAATATACAATCCGATAGTCAGGATGGGACAACAATATACAATGAGATAGTCAGGATTGGACAACAATATGCAGTCCAATAGTCAGGATGGGACAACAATATACAGTCAAATAGTCAGGATGGGACAACAAAATACAATCCAATAGTCAGCATGGGACAACAATATACAATGAGATAGTCAGGATTGGACAACAATA